GGGGAGGGGGGGGTTGAAAAAAGTTTGTTAATTTTTGACAAGGGTTGGGGGGGGGGCAAAATAAATTGATGTCAACAACTTTGTTTTTCTTTGTTTTACTAAAAATTAAAACCATACTTAGTCGTACATAATTTGTAGGAAAATATATGTTGATTTTAAATTACCATACAAATTATGGTTAAAAAAAAAGTCATTTTTGCACCACATGACATTTGCGACCGTTAAAGCTTAAACGATGGACATTGACATTTTAATATTAAATTAAATGACACGTCTTTTTCCGAAATTGCTGAAAGTTTTGTTAACGCTTTCTTAACAAACAAAATGGCCGATGTGTTTGACTGTTGGATCTTAAGTTATCCTTGAATGCAACACATGGTGGTGGGGGAAGATGGGTGGGGTAAAACCTCAAATATAATAATGTAGGCTGTAGGGTCACAAGGGGAAGCAATGGAAGAGATAAAGGGGACAGTCCCACCCCTTGTTAGTATTTCACATACACTAGGGTGATACAATTTTTTCAGAGACTAGACCTATTATCTATTAGAGTTTGTCATATGAATTACCATTACAATCACATTATCACATTTTTTGACATTATTATTATTATCATTACGAATATGCCATGCACCTATGCCTTACCGCACTAGTAAAAAAAATAATAATTACTAAGTCATGGCATATGGAATGATAGCCATTTTTTATAATAGTCTTTATAAATAAAAAATATAACCATAAATTTTAAGTTTAAGTAAGTGTAAGTGTAAGTAATTTTTAGTAATTGTAAGTTAACTTACAACTCAAAGTATCTAAGTCAACGCTAAGTTTTGTGTGTGTGTCAGATTTAACAAAAAATAATGTTTTTGAGAAATTATATAATGAGTCTTCATCTCTTGCTTAACGTTTGGGAAAACCTATTTTCTACAATTTATTCTAATGTACCGGTACAAGACTAACGTTTGGAAAATTACATTGTATTTGGTGTTGCTGTTGACTACCGGTTACCAAGTAGCTCTTTGTTGTCGAGGATTGTAATTTACGGACGGATGTGAATAAATGTAATAAAGACCTGTTTTCGGCAGTTTCATGTCGTGTACACAGTATTGAGGAACAAAATAATTTTCTGTCGACGACATTTCATTCACTACAATGAGTCACATAATGGATTGATTTAGTTTTAAGTAAATATATACTTTATAATATTTGAGTTCATAATATTTGTGCCAACTACATTCACAACGTTAGAGCCTTTAAAGGTATTTTGATAGGGCTGAATGATAAGATAATTATTAATCAGATATAATAATATATTTAACAACGTCAAAATTTAGGCTAGGCCCACTTTTACTTTAAATTTACTGTGGCTTAGGACTTAGCTAGTACTAGAGGAGTGTAATTTTACTGCTGGTAGTGTCACGGCCTTGTTATTATTAAAATTAGTATGCGTAGGCTTAAATACTAAATATATAGTGGGCCTATAACCTACTATTAAATTATACTATACTATACTGGGCTGATGTTAAGGAGGGATGCCACAGAGTCTTTTGTGTGTTTACTATAGTTGCAGTGAATTAAGGTTTAGGTTAGATTGAGGGATCGATTTAGGGTTCAGGTTAGGCATAGGGATCGATTTAGGGTTCAGGTTAGGCATCGGCATAGGGATCGATTTAGGGATACATTCGTGAAATTCGATAAAAATGTGGCATTCGTCCTTAAAATTTACCCTATACTGACTATAGTATGAAATTTTTTTAAAATTTACTTATTATTATCAGATTATTAAGTGTTTCAACAAGTTGTGCCGACCTTTGACTTTGAAAATACCGGTAATAAGACATTAAAAAACAAAATGAACGTTTCTGAAAGCGCATTTGTAGTGTATGTAACATGTATAAGAGAAACATTTCGAATACTAAGTGATATTTTATTGAATTTCAACATTCTTCATGTAGTTGAATATTTACATTTTACTTATACGAACACCCAAAGAAAATACCACTATCAATAATACCATATGAATATTAATGTGCATGGTCGTATTTCAACCAACTTGCTTTTACTATGCTTTGGCAAAATTTACACACAATATCCATGGCTCATTCAAAAGCCTCAGTCTCACAGCAAATCTTTGAAAACACCACGATTTTAGAAACGTACGGTAGCAAACTGTATAGCAAAGTCATAGGTCTTCGTTTACCCTGTTCATGACGGAATTTGTTTCCAGAATGGCACGGCATGTGCCAGTCTAAGGGTAAAACATGACGTTTTCTTACAGAAACCATTGCACAATGCGCTTGGGACAGGATTTGCGCTATTTCAAAGTTTTTTATTTGTTGTTTTTTGTTAAGAAATCGATCCATGGCGGGGGTGGGGGGGGGAGTTATGGGCAGAGGCTTAACCAAAAGGGGGCCTACACAAATTACGGCTCTGGATGGAGTTGTCCACAAAGGACATCCGCACAACAACCTTACCTTTTGCATCCCCCAACCCGGGGGGAGGGGGGGGGGGGGGGGAGTTGCTGATATCTGCCGGCATTTTTTACTAATGTGTAATGCCAATGTAAAACTAATTCAATGATATTTAATTATTGTTAAAAAACTTTAAAAAATTGCTGCAGTGTTTCGTATTTATCATCATACTGTTGTTTTGTGTTGACAATCGCTTGATATCACAATGACAATGCCTCGCACAACTTTAACTTCATGATCAATGTATGTGATTCTCTGAGCGTAATATATTTGTGGCGTAATAATATCTTGGAGTTAACAAAACAGATGCACTGGCTTCCCATTGATTTTTACACCAGGCCCTGAGGGATCACATACAATGTTATATTTATAATGCCTCTCCCCCCCCCACCCCTCCAAAAAAAGAAAAGAAAACAAAAACAAACGGGGGGGGGGGGGGGGGGATTGATTACAAATTAGCTACCCTATTTATGCCTATTAAGATTCACAATCATAGGATAAAACTTACTATAATTAATAAATATATTTGTATTTCAATATATAGGGGGAAAAAAGTGGTTAACTTTAAAAATAAATAATGGTTCAACATTACACCCCAGCCCCCCTCCTTTCCAATAAATACTAAGAAATGTTTTTACAATTGCCACAAAAGTGTGGAAATTACCCAATATCTTCCTCCCAAGGTATTAAATGATTTTTAAATAAATAGTTTTCAGTTTTATCAAGAGTATAACATTAAATCTACAAGTACCGGTTAGGCCAAAAAGTTAAAGACTCGTAAAGACCATGGTTTTGTTGCTTTAAATCACTGAGGTGTATGCAGGCAGCTAGGTGATTTTGAGTGTGAGGTAGATAATTTAACTACTAATAATTAAAGACTTACCCAAGTTTAAGTTGAAAGTTAAAGCCAAAGCGTAGGCCTAGTCTAGTAAATAGTTTGTTTATTTTAAGGCCAGAATAAGTCATAAGTGTGAGGCTTCTCGCTTGTTATAAAAAAAAATAATAATAATTAGATTTTACAGAGATATTGTAACTTTAAAGTTTATTCATAAGATGACACTTCCAAATGGTTTCGATATTTATTAATTATTTTTAGGTAAACCTGTGTTAAAAATCCCACTTCATTATTATACTTCATACAGGTGCAGGCTATAACAAAAGTTAAAGGCTTTAAATGTTATCTATACATCATATTATTCATTTACATCTAAAACTGTGTTAGTGATATTCTTTCCTAGATGTCTGAGTCTTAAGCGTTGTATCATAAGGAAGTAACATTAAAAAGATTTCAATTTTTTTTACAGTGGACAAGATTTTATAAAGTTTTTATATCGTACAATCTCTTAGAATACTTAGATATATGCATATTTTATTTCTCTGTGAATGCTTAAATGCACCTGTCTGCAAACACATTTTGGTCATGCTAGTACCAGGTCTTTCATACTCACAAGAAGTCCTGTACAAGAGCCCCCCATTGCACAAGTTCCTTCTCTGCTCAATCTTACACCTATCAAAATTGTATCCCACAAAAAACATTAATTTGCCTTATATGTGGGAACTTTCACTGACTTGCAAGGAATAAAAACTACACTATTTTTAGTGGCCTATGATATTTGAAAGTGCTAGTATATTTAGGTGTAGCTCCTTGTTCAATATAATACAATTTTCATTATGCTAGAACTATTAATTTTTCAACTATTGTTAGAGGATAACCAGTTTCAACAATTTATGATATTTCACAAGAAGCCATTACAAGGTTTTCATTCGGAAACCCCTTAATATTTATGGTAGCTTTAATGCTCTCTTGGTCATAAAAATCATAATCAGTAAACACATAGGAAAAAGTCCACTCACTCTTGACACTTAAAATTAAATTCATTGGGTGGACTAGATGTAGGTGCGTAACATTTTTTTCATTTCTTGTTTTAGTCAAGCTGTTCTAAAGACAGAGAATGCAGTTATCATTTTATCAATCATTTATAAGTGTACAAAAAAAGATACCCTCATCTGGATAAATAGACGGATAATTTAATTTATCCTTAGCTTTCCTGTATCATGTCTATTTTGTTTCTGCTAAAGGGGGTCTTTGAAAAGCATTAATTTATTTTCTTTAGAAAAGCATGACACCGTTAGGTTACAGACAATCTCTTACATTGTTTATTTCTAGCGCTCAAGGTATTAATTCTTCTGCCACTGTCTGCTCAGTAGTCATTTGATCACCACCGACATTTCAAGACATTAATTTTAAAACATGTCTGCACAACTATCCCTGAAAGTAGGGGAGGTCAAAATCCCTGAGGACTCTGATTTTCGTCACTTTAAAGCTATATGTGAGGACACTGATGGATGGAAGTTAGAAGTAGACAAAAATCAAACAACTGTTTGGACAAAAACCAACGATCTTTCAGACTTCAAGATGGTCAAGGTAAACATTAACATGATATAAGGCAAAATTCAACAGTTTGAAAAAATGTATGTTATATGTTAATGCACAAAAATAAAACCAAATTTGTTGCATATTCAACACAAAACTAGAATTTTGAGACACAACAGTCAAAATTTTAAAAAAATTGTATGCACTGGTTTGGTAAGGAGCGCTGTCCATCAGACAACTATTTTATATATTAGATACATGATTTTTATTATATTCCCCATCTTACTTTGTAAGTAACAAAGAAAACTTTAGAAGCATTTTTTTAAAAAATTCTTACATTGCTTTTTAAAATTCTTTTATATCATAATCTTGCTGTTTGAAAATGTTGTTTTGAGTTTGAGCAAAAACTGAACGATTTGTTTTTTAAGTGAATGTTTCAAGCTTTTTTTTTTTTACTATATTGACATCAAATAAAGTAATGGAGAAATGCTGTTTACATTTTTTGTTTTACATTGATAAAGCATTCTAATAGATCTTTTTGCTATTCTAATTTGATGAAAAAAATCCAATCCTGAATGTTACTTTGCTACAGGTGCGCACTACTTTTAAAGATCTAGATGCAGCTACTTTGTATGATGTCATCCATGACCCAGAGTTCCGCAAGACATGGGACCAGTCAATGCTAGAGGGATCTGAGATATGCGCAATTAACCCTAACAACGATATTGGTTACTATGCAAGTAAGGCATACAATTGTACTTAGTTTCAAATAGTGCATCTGGAATTTTGGCCTAAATTTTTGTACAAATTTTTGTACAAAACCATTTAGGGTTGTTTTTTTCCTATGGGATGATACTATAATATTTTAAGAAATTCATCAAAATTCTTTGCCTAAATGTCTCAATATTAAGGAGATTGTTTTATTTCAATAAGTTCTCCTCGAAACAATTGTAGCTACAAAAATGCACTTGTAGTAAAATGTGTCTGAATTTATTAGCATTAAGGATTAAACGTATGCTCTGAATTTCGCTCTTACTCACTTTCATTTAAAAGAAATGTTACACCACATTTGTGATATGTTTGCTGATCTATTTTTTCAATTTATTCTATTGATCAGTATGTATAAGTATTAAATTTCTAAAATATTGTGCAAATCTAGATTCCAACTTATGAGTAGAGCTATTTTATATTTGTAATTTATAATTTGATGGTTTAAAAAAAAAAATTTTTCGTCTATTCAGTCCGATGTCCAGCCCCACTAAAGAATAGAGACTTTGTAACACAGAGGTCATGGCTGGATTGTGGTTATGAAAAGATTATCTTTAATCATTCTGTCAATCATGCTGTAAGTTTAAATGTTCAGTAATATTTTTCTAAGTGTTTTTCTAATGAACTGACAGTGCTGTCTTATTTTGGTGCATGACTCATATAATTAATAATAAAACATACATTTATTTAAGCTTTTATTGCAATAAAATTGTGTCTTTTAAGTGTCTGTTGATACAAGTTTGTATAACATTCATTCTCGTGTGAGATGATTGTCTAAGTTTGTTTTTTTTAAGTTCTCAGAAATTTCAATTTTTGCCATAATCCATTCCATGTCTTAAGCATGACAGGCATACATTGCTTTTAATTGCTTCAATCTTTTCTTTATTATTTTTTAAAAACTATATTTTATTTATCATTGTTGAATTTTGATGTGTAACGTTACATTTTTTAGATTAATGTAAGTGAAAGCCAAACACGGGTTATGCTTTTGGCTTTTGTTAATTATATGTGGTAGAATGTATTTTATTAATGATGGTAGGATTTATGCCCTTAATGATCGTAGGATGTATTCGGTTAATGATGGTAGGATGTATGCCATTAATGATGGTATTATGTATGCCGTTAATAATGTATGTTGTATGCCATTAATGATGGTAAGATGTATGCCGTTAATGATGGTTAGATGTATGCCTTTAATGATGGTAAGATGTATGCCGTTAATGATGGTAAGATGTATGCCGTTAATATGGTAAGATGTATGCCGTTAATGATGATACGATGTACGCCATTAATGATGGTAAGATGTATGCCGTTAATGATGGTAAGATGTATGCCGTTAATGAGGTTACAATGTATGCCATTAATGACAGTAGAATTTATACAGTTAATGATTGTATGCCAAAAATGAAGGTTTTAAGATGCTATTTCCAAAAATACATTTGAAAAATCAAATAAGTGCAGTGACAAATAGTCAGCAATATGTTGAATAAGAAGAATTTTGCACTGCACTTTTATTTTAGCCTTTTTATTGAGATTTTAAGATGGCGTTAAATATCTTTTTAGTACACTTAGCTTAAACATGATGTGTGGTTGAACTATATCAAGAAACACTAAAAAGTTTTTTGAAACTGCTAATGTAAACTAATTTATCAAATATGTACATGTACTAGATTTTCTTATAAGTGTAGGTTTACGTTGATGCAAATGAAATTAGAAATACAAAATCAACTAGTTAAAAACAAACTGAAATTTTCTCTTTGTACAGGCAAGACCGCTGAAGAAAGGTATTATCAGAGGCACGTCATATTTAACTGGCTATTATATTGTCAAGCTTGAGGAGAACAAAACTCAGCTGACATACATCTCACAGTCTGATCCCAAAGGTAACATTGATTAACACGTACATCTCACAGTCTGATATCCCAAAGGTAACATTGACACATACATCACACTGTCTGGCCACAAAGTTAACATTGATTGACATATACATCGCACAGCCTGGTCCAAAAGGTAACAATGATACATACATCATCTCACATTCTTACCCTAAAGGTAACATTATTTAACACATACATCCCAGTCTGATCCCAATGGTAACATTGACACATACATCTTCTCTCGGTCTGACCTCAATACTAAAATTGATCAGCAATCTTTCAACAAACATGGCTGCTTAAATCCCAACTGTTTTTTATTTAACTTAAATATTCACTTCTTTCACTGACAAGATCTTTTATACTAGTATGTCAAAAACTATTTTTTTCAATAGCATTAGATATTTTTTAACTCGCGTGGCTATCTATTTTTACTATGTTTAAATTCCCTATTCACTCCTCAACATTTTATTGACAAAATTCCAGCTCTGTACTTTTATGTACACGCTGTTGATAATCTGATAAAGCTTTATCTCCACATCATTCTCAACGGTCCAGTTATTTACATACATAGAGAGCTGGTGGGTGGAACCGGGGCTGTAGTACCTAAGCCCATTTTGTTGTTGTCAGTTGTACACCATTAAAAGGCACCCCTCATGTTTGGCCACCAGTGTTATGAAGCCAGGAAATTACTGTAAGCTTCCGCAATATGCCTCCATCATATTTGTATTTTCTCATGTGTCTACATTGTTTGTTAAAGATTTGATCTGTTACTCTCAGGCAATCTTCCAGCATGGGCAATAAACAAGCTGACTAGGATGTTTGCACCAAAGGTTGGTTCATTTATCTTACCTTCACATCTCAGGAGTCTATAGACACATTGCAGTCAGAATAAATTGATGCCTAATTAATTATTTCATTAGTTTTTAAAGACAAATTAATTTCATGGTTTTTTTTTTTTTCATAAAAAAAAGCTCAAATGTTATTTGTAGTTTCAATGAGAGTATATTTATGTTAAATTATTTTTCGAATATTTTTTTTTTTTTTTTAACACAAATTTTTTTTTTTATTTTTAAAAAAAAAATAATTTCATGGTTTTTTTTTTTTTCATAAAAAAAAGCTCAAATGTTATTTGTAGTTTCAATGAGAGTATATTTATGTTAAATTATTTTTCGAATATTTTTTTTTTTTTTAAACACAAATTTTTTTTTTTCAATGCCCATTTGAAATGATACTTGCAGTTTCAGTGAATATATATTTATTTCAAATGATACATTAGGAAATAGTGTCAGCAGGTCGTTGAACTCGTACCAAGCTCTTTATGCCCCCTCCAAAGCACCTCCCCTGAGCCGGTATGTTGGGTCCCCCTTTAGGCTGCGAAGCGGCACGTTGGAGATCTCCCTTTGTCAGGACGGTCCCCACTCGCATTGGCTTGATCTGGTTTACCACTGGGGTCCGCCCTGCCCCAGGGACATCCGGTCGACCCGACAATGTTCTCGCAGTGCCAACGGTCAACTTTCCTATAGTGGTCGGGGTTATACATTTACATCCTAATATCTTCCCCCTCCCACTCCGGGAAAGCATCGGACGCCATCTAATATGGATTTCTACAGTGGGTTTCTACCTCACAACTAAGTTATGAAGCAGCTGGGACGAAACGGTTGCCAAGGAACAGCTTCCTCAATGCTGTGTAAATAGATTCATAAGCATTTTTTATCATGCAAACAAATTACGCAGCTAGTATTTTCTTATATAACTGTGTGACTTTACTTAGAGTAGTCATAACATTAAACAAATGGTATTTATTCTTTTATAAGTTTAATTACAAATACAAATTTCACCTACTTCCAATTAGAAACTATATGTTTAATGTATTAAAAAAAACAAGTTCATAGAAAGTCTTAATAAAAAAATGCCAAAATCTATTAAACTTAAACAGTACAATAAAATTTAAGAAAAAAGGAATCTGATCAAGTTTTTAAATCTAATATAAATATTTACATGTTGCCCAGATGAAAATTTCATTCTATACAATTTCAAAAGTGCTCTAGGTTCTTGCTCTTGCACTTTTGAGTGGCCAGTGTTGCCACCTGAAGAAACCAGCAGTAAGCACCCCTCATGTATAAATCGCAGTGGCCTAGATATCTTGTTTCTAAGTTAAGGACGTCTGGATGAAATCTCTCTCCTTGCTCATCACTTTCATCAACCAAGTTTGGTGGTAATAAGTCCAGATGAGAATATTAGATTAGAAAAACATTTTAGGGACATCAGAGGCTGAGTTGCTTGTAGGCTGTTAGCACAGTTGTGAGTTTGGTCAGTAATGCAGCTTTCCAGCTCGCCTTGCTGGAGTCTATGAACAGTACTCCATGATCTGAAATGTTTTCGGAACTTAACTTTAGCATGATACCCTTTAACATCAGTGCAGAAATGGATATGATTTTCCAGTTTATAATATGTGTAGATATTGCAAAGTGATTGGGTGGGGCCTGTTGAGCCTTAGGAAAACTTCAACTTTAGAGGCCTGAATTTATTATTGTGGTGATGGACAATATAATTGTCTCTTCCCATTTTCACATATTCTTTTTCAAAACTCACATTGTCAATTTAAAAAAAAATACATTGCTCAAAAACTACTAAATTTAGTTGATGCTTGTTTAATTTGCTATATAAAACTGGATAATTTTTATAAAAAGTTTTTTGCAAAAGCTGCTAATTTATCCCGTATTGAGTAAAGGCGTATGCTTTGGTTCCTTTACGCTCTACCTAATGTAAAATATACTTAGGTAGTGTGTCACCATACTCAACACCGGTCATTTTCATAATTTATTATATATTTCTTAAATGCATGCATAACTTAAAATCTAGTTGTGCTATTCATATTTGGAATCAGTGTGTTAGAATACATGCAAACATGTTATGCCTTCATTAGCAAAGTCGTTGTTGACCAGTTGTTATTGTTTAAAGAAAACTCTAATTTCAAGTTTAGATTTAAAAATAAAAAGACTTACTTGAATGTTATTTGAAGTTTCAGGATGAACAGTTTTGTTTGTGTGGAGATTTTTCAAACTCAATTTACTTTATCAGTTGAACATTATTCTATGTATCTTCACAATTTAAAGGTGTTTAGGGAGGGCGGGGTTATGACAAAATTGGGCCTGATGGTGCATGTGCTTTCAACACTCACCGCACTGGGACACTCAGGCTGACCAAGGAGCCTTAGTTTCTCTGCAGCCACTTATAGAGCCTATACCTAAGGCCGACACTGGACATTATTGTTGCATTGCAGCGCAAAGAGCAATAGTAACCATAGTAACAATAGTAAAAAGTAACGCTGTGTCTAAGCCTCAAAAACTCATACTCATTCTAAGAATTATTTTGAAGTTAATGTAGCAAAGTAAAACTTTTTAGCTTCTGGAAAATTCTCGTCTGCTTTCATCTGGGCCTACTTCAGGAATGTGCCTTATGCTGCAGCCTGTTCTGTAATTAGCCAAACAAATTTTATCCCAGGCCTTTGTGCATACATTTCATATGCTTTATATCTCAGCTGTCTACTTAAGTGTTGAGGCGGGCAATGAGTGCTGGCTCACACTCTATTGTAGATAGCCATTGTCAATGGTTACATAGTTGAGTAGATTGGATAAAAGCTATCTCATGGTTAATTCTGGAAACATGCTTCTGGTGACATGTTCACATTAAAATGTTCACAAAACTGTATTTATTGGCCGACAAGACATTCATGGCAAGCAGTCACCATTGCCCCATTTTTAGTTCACCTAGCAGCAGTGCAGAAACTAGTTTAAAACTTGGCCTTCGAATGACCCACATTTTCTTGTCACCAGGTGATCAATCGCATCTACAAAGCGGCCAAAAACTACAAGAGCTGGAAGGCCAAGAACAGGCCAGAGTTCAAGCCCTGGCTCAACCCGGAGCAGATGATGACCATGCTGCCCAAGTACAACCCCACGGACGTGGTTAGCCCAGAGAAGCTGACTTCATCGCGAGAGTCTCTGGATGAAGGGGATATGAACGAGGCCGACTTCCAGGATGACGACTACTAGATGTTGGTTGGTGTTTGGTTTGCTGCTTGTTGATGTAGAATGTGGGAGATTTTTTTTTTTGGAGGGGCTTGGATATTTTAGGGATTTGACCCTAAGTCAGTATTGTGTAGGGCGTACAACTTTATTGGTTTAGCATATATGTGATATTATGTTTTTTTTTAATAATCTATTTTTTTTTAAAGTTTGTTGTAAAAAAAAAATATATTATTCTTATATTTATATGAAAATTCAAATTATCTTTATAAACAAGTAGTTTTGTTGACTGAATGATAATTTGAAAATGAAAAATGTTTTAATAATTTTTTTAAAATAATAAATCTCTGAAGATCTGCTCTCCCTGTTGGGACAGATTTCTGAGTAAGAACAAATTATCTATTGGTAAGTCTTGTGATGGTCCTTATTTGCTCATGACATTTGTTTTATTTTGAAATCAGAATCATTAGTTATCAAGTAGACTCAACTATTACTTTGTGATGTTACTCCTTGGTGGAGATACATTGATTTTGTTAGGGGGGTTGACTAAGGTCCTCCCTACAGTCATGAGGAGGTCTAAGGTCCTCACTATGGTCACTATGAGGAGGTCCATACAGACTTCCCTTGCTCAATCACACAACCCTACAGAACTTTACACAAACTGGAAATAGTGTTGGTAACAAGACTGAAAGAACAAAAAAATTTAAGTTAACTAGGCTTCCACCTGGCCAACCATCACACATACCCTCACCACATTCAGTTCAATAGGTGACAAGCTCCTAATGATTTAAACATGTCTAGTTTTGATGCTGATCTCAATGAATATGTCTGCTTTATGACCTTGGCAATTGGCAAGAAGTATTTTGTTGTCCTAATGAAACCCTGGTCTAATGATTTAATGAGGAATATTTAAATAATTATTTCCTTTGCAGAAAGACATTTGAACCACTTCCTATTCTGGTGTAGGAGGAAGTGCAATTATGATGATTTCAATATAATTAACTTCTGTACCGAAGATCATGTAAGAAAATAAGGAATCATCTATAGTGCAAACATTTTTATCAACATTTTAAATAAAAAAAATATAATTTGAAATAAAAGAGTGCAAAAGTATTAATCCTGGAAAATTTGTTACGAGTACAAATTTGTATTCAGCAGAAATGGACATTATTCTTTTCTTTAACTTTATGTATTTGTTTTTTTACTGTGTATAAAAATTGTTTATTTGGGAGTTCAACAAAAGTAATTTTTCAGTTGTATTGATTTATTACATTTATTGATGCGTTGATTTCCAACATTTTTTTTGTCTAACTTGAATCTTTCTTCTTGTGATCCCTGGCTGCTCTGCCCCCTTGCTACGTTGCTTCCGTTTATTTCACATGATCATGGGATTCTAAACATTTCATACAACATGGATTCTTCTAGAGGTCACAAAACAGTACATCACATTTTTACATGGCAATTGTTAGAAATGTTTATGAAGTTGCAAACATCTCATTTTTTTGGGCCTAAGACAGTTTCTGCTTAGCACTAAAAAAGAATATTAGGTCTTGCTTACAATGTGTATTTATTATTGAGAGCTGCCCTGGCACAGTACCATTAAGAGAGATAGGTAATTCCTAGTGCACATCAATGTACCAAAATAATCTAATACTGTTGTGGATGTCCTATACTAAATGATTTTTTTGGTTGCTCAGTGTTAAATGAAATAATTAATTCCATCAATTTTCTCAAGCATGAAACATATTCTTGGCATATCTTAATTAATGGCAATATTTATGGATGTTCTTAATTTGAGCTTTTTTTTTTCTCTGTCGTCCTAACAAGGAGCAGATAGTCATCAGGTCAAAGGGAAATTTTTGTGGTATTTAATACGGTGATCATGTCTGTTATTACCTCCATGAGGAATTTATAATGGGCAAACTAAAACTTCCACACACTTTTTAATTTGTATTACATTTTTAAAAAAATTCATTTCTAGTATATATTTAATTTTATTGTAAGAATACTTCGATGATACCAAATGAATTATTGGTCTTTGATGGAGTTGTCATTCTTTGATTGGAGTTGTCATTCTTTGATTGGAGTTGTCATTCTTTGATTGCAGATGTCAACCTTTGATTGCTTGTTGATATTGGCTGCTCTCTGATGATCATGTTTGACTTCTGACAAGGAAGCAAATCCGTCACTATGATTCACGCAAACATTTTACTTATATAAATAGTTTTCATAATACTTCTTCACCACTGTGGGGAAGTGAATCTTTGGCAAATTTCGATCATCTCTTGCTAACTTTTGCAAATAGTTTTATCTGCTAACATGTAGCAGATTGTTTGGGTCCACTAATTTTTTGTTTTTATGACATTACAGCATCAACAAGATAACAATAGGCCATGTTGAAAATCTGCATTACCAATATATAAAAATAATTGGACATAACATATCTATGAGCAGCACCTTGAATAACATAACGACATAAGATATTCGAATCTATAAATAACGCTTTAAAAAAAAAAAATGTGTTTATCATTTATTTAGTCAGTAACAAACAAAAAAATCGATTGTTGATGTAAAAATAAAGCAAATTTCAACTCGTTTGTTTTATTCGAGGGCTTACCCGTGATTTATAGTGTATTATTTATTATGATTATAATACTCCACCCAGCTTGGTAAATGATGCATTTGTTTCGCATTTATTTCATAAAAACTTCCGATTCAGCGAAATGACTCATAAGAACGACTCCATATGCATTTAATATAGACAGAAATCATTGAAAAATTGGATTTCCATCCACGGAATATAAGTATAAGTGCAATGTGCAATTAAGCTCAAGTTATCCTTGAACATTTTATCTCTATTCGCTGTTGTATAAATTGTTTGGACTTTCTCAAAAATTAAATTAACTTTACATAGTTCCCCCCCTAAAAAATGAAAGACATAAATCATTTTAAAGTATATTTAGCTTCTACTTCAATCTTTGGTATGTCAGTGGTATAACCATATCACTGGTCTTCATTAAATGTATTCAGTTACAGGGTATAACACGAACTATGAAGAACTTAAGACTCTGAAACAGTATTATTTGTTTAGGAAAATATTTGGGGGGTTGGGGGGGGGGGGGTATTCAGTTACAGGGTATAACACGAACTATGAAGAACTTAAGACTCTGAAACAGTATTATTTGTTTAGGAAAATATTTGGGGGGTTGGGGGGGGGGGGGGTTGAGAGAGAGGCGCTGTGACTCCAGCTGTTTGAATGAGCCGAGCCTCATTGATCTCCTGATTGCGATGTAGTTAGATTTATTGTTAAATAAAAGATTATGCATCAACTGGGGTAAAACAGAAAAATACCACACAACACAAATGAAATAGGGAGTTGGTGGAGATCAGAGACAATGGTATGGTACACTGAAGTCTAGTTGGATGATGTTGGTAATATTCAAATACTCTCTGATGATGTGACAGTGGTAAAGCACGATCATGTATGAGGATTTATTTATTTTTTAAAATATTCCCTTAATATCTTTTGTGTTCCAGTTTTTTTTATATAACTACAAGTATGTCAACTCACGTTTGACATGTTCAGTAAGGCTAAGACTTTACTCAAAGAGTTTTCCCATGTCATTGCCAAGGGGTCTTATACTTCATTGCTCAGGGAAGTGCTCTGGAGGAAACATTATTCTCTGTCGACCAAGTGCACCAAATTGATATGCTTTGGAACTAAGTAATTTTATTTATTAAAGTCTAGCATAATAAACCATGTCATTTTATCAATTCACATTTTACATACTGCACCTTTTTTTTTTTTTTTTTGGTTCTCCTTGTAGCTGTTGCTTTTTCAAAAATATTTTTTTTTTTTTTTTTGTAGTTATTTACTTTTTTATATATTTTTTTCTTTTTTTTTTTTTTTTTTTTTTTTTTGGTTCTCCTATTAGCTTTTGTTATTTCAAAAATATTTTTTTTGTTCTTTTGTTAGCTATTCACATTTTTAAATATTTGTTTCTTTTTTTTTTTTATTTTGGTTCTCCTAGTAGCTGTTGCTATTTCAAAAATATTTTTTTGTTCTTGTGGTAGCTATTCACATTTTTAAATATTTGTTTCTTTTCCTCCCGGTAGCTTCTCCTATTTTTTAAAATTTTATTTTGTTTCTTTATTTGCTGAGTTGCTTTTTATTAATAGAAAAATTAATAGGTGATCATTCTTTCCACATCAGTTTTTAACATAGCCATTACATTATTGTAACACATAGGAGGTGTTGTGACCAGGACATCTTTGTCTCCGTTGAACATTTAAATAGACATTTTTTTGGTTTCATTTCTGTTAACTCCAGCTGTTTATTCTCATGACTGTTATTTGTGTCTGGCACCATTTTGTTTCAACTTTATCCAATTCATTTTGTCAGAATACCATCTATTCTTTAGTTATGAACTTCTTTACCACATCCATTTTTGACATGCAACAAACTCTTAAATGTGCATTATTCTGCAGTTATAAAAGACAACACTTTTTTCATTCGTTCTTGGTGTTGTGGCTGGGGATGTAACGATTCAGGCGAGTGAAATGCCGAATAGCTGAACAAAATGCATTGTCATAAAAAAAGTCAATTTGGCAAAATTCTTTTTTTTTTGTTGCCTATACAGCACAAATGTTTCCCATGGTGGCCCTCTTGTTGAATGATAACAAGATTGGAAACAAATATATTTACTTTTGATTCCTATTTTTTTGTATTATCATGTTGTAAACATGACTGTAAAAGGACTTTCAGTCAATTTGTTGACACATCCTATGAAAACTTTAATTGAAGTAATTGATTTTTTAAGGCATGAAAATTCTATGTTTATCTTCTTATAGTTTAGACTAGGCTGATTTCAAATCTGATTTCAAATCTTCTGAGAAGATACCAGGTTTTTAGTGTTACCAGTGGGGAGCCATCATCATTGTCTTGATGGGATTTTTTTAATGTTCAATTTACATCTCAAAGCTTCTCCTCCGATTCAAATCAGTCGTTTTAACTCGTGAAGCTGCTTTTGTTTTTGTTAACATTCTTGAGCCCACCATCCAATAGGATACTGTAGTACATTAAATTATTTTAACATATCATGAAATGATAAAGCATTTATTTTTATAATAATTTTTTTTTTAAACAGCAAAAGACAGCTAATTTCATTAACTTGTGTTGTTTACCTTGCGATGGTTTTGTAGAAACATGGTACGCAAGAGATTTCTGAAATGCTCAGCCAGCTCATTTCAAGTTTATCATTTCGGCCACACATTTTGATGTCATTATATTCCTTCTGGCTGGGACCTTTGAAATTGACCAAATTGCCCAAACAATAAAAGACGAATGAAATATTTGTAAACATTTATCATGGTAATGGCTAGTTATTGTTTTTTTATCTAACGCTTGAATATTTTGAACATGTGACTGTAGTTGATTCTTTGAGTAGACATCATGTGTTGAATTATGAATCGGTGTTTGTATTTCAGATCATATTTGGGATTAACATTCTCAAACGTTAACTTTTTGTATTGTTGACCATTGGTGTTAAATTTATTTCATATCTCCAATTTTCATTATTTTTTGCTCACCAAGAGAATATTGAAATTACCTTTTAGGTAAATTTTTTATGTTTATTTTTTTTTGGTGTGTTTATTTTAAAAATAATATTTAGAACAAAGGTAAAATTTATCACCTGATTTTTATTTCCTCACTCCATTTAGAAGTGCAATCTTTGTGTGTATAACTGCATTTGTCATATCTGCATGTAGCCATGTAAATACTGCAGTGTCTCCAGTATTAAACTGTCAAATAAATCTTTGGTTTAAGATTATGATGAAAATCATTTGCATTGATGACTATATTCGTGATTGAAAAATGTCGCTATTTTGAGAAAGTAAAGTGATTGCTATACTCTTGATTGAAAAAAGCAGCTATTTGAGAAAGTACAGAGATTGCTGTACTCGTGATTGAAAAATGTCGCTATGTCCTGAAGGTGAAATGTCTAAATTGTACTTGATCCCTGCCTCCAGGGTTTTGTTTCACCCCTCAGTATTTATCTTTTATTTTAGTTTCAA